AATCTCCTGTAGATATGCCCATTATTGTACAGTGCTTCAGATATTTATTCATCTGTGTCACTTTTTTGAATTGAGCACTGTTAGTAACTGCAACCAAACTGGTCTTGCTGCTAGTAGGTGGTACCCAGGTAAAATGGGAGGCTTAAGCATTTCAAGGAGGACTTCTCTGTGTGGATGGGCTGAGCTCTCTATGGAATGATGCTATTCCTGATAAAATGATTGATTTCTGCACTGTGAGTCTTCTTCACAACCATATGCTGGAATGGGGGCCTCACACTACTGTGTTGCTTGTGAAGCAAGATCTTCCAAGTTCTTTTCTGGAGGGTCGGCTTTGACCTTGAGTAAAGTTCAATTTGCCTAATTATGAGTTGGGCTGTAATCAGCTTCTACTGTATTTTTAAAGAAAGGGGAGAAAGACGCCTATTTTTAAAACTCATTCTGTTGTTCCCTGGTGATTTGAATTCCAATTTCTAGCCCAATTGTGTCATGGCCTGAGGGGACTGTTGACTCAGACATAGGACAACCTCAGCCCTGAGAAACTTAAATCTAAGGAACAAAGAACAAAAGGAGACAGCCTGGAAGTTCAAGAGTGTCTGGGTCTCAGAATTTGTTGTCTGATGAAAATTAAATCTCTTAGAAAATACCTGTATTAAAATACTATTTGTATTCAGCTTGTCTCAGGGTGCAAACACAATGTTTGAATTAGCTCCTCCGCAAGATGCCTGGGTGCCTACACTGTGGCAGACCTTGAGACATTTAAGAGGCTAGAGTCCCACCTAGGTCTGGCTTTTGTCCCAGAGAAACCACTCAGAAGCCCCAACCCCATATTTCTCTCTGACAAAAAGCAGAAATATAAACAGTCCCTATTCATCTCTGCATTAGTTTCTCCTCACTGTGTATCTGTTCCTCCACTATCCTATAATCAGGAAGGACAGCAGCTTCTGGAGCCTGGTGAGCTCCTCAAGGTGTTTTTGCACATTTCCTCTTAAGAGAAATTTAGGCATTGGAGTTTATGGCCAATTAATTCATTTACAGTAAAAAAAAAAAAAAGATTATCCCCTAGGATTTTAAACTTAAAAGTAATACTGTTATCATCTCTTAAAATAGCATATTGACTGAGCTCATGATCTGTGGTCTCAAAAATCCAGGAATCAAATCCCAGCTTTATCCTGTGACCTTGAATAAGTTATTTAAACTTTGTGAATCCAAGTTTACTCCTTGTAAGATCAGGGTAGCAATAAGTGTCTCCTACCATTTTTGTCAAAATTAAATGGAGATAATATCCCGTGAAGCTTAGAGCAAAATTCTGTAAGTAGTGGTGGTTTTTATTTATTTATTCCAACACACAAACCCTTGGGGGACTAACCACATCTGAATGAGCCATAATAGCAGGTTAAGTCTTCATCCTGTGTATTTTGGGGCCACAATGCAGTCCGTGACAGGACCAGAAGTCAGATTGCTGTAGGTTAAGGGGATAGCAGACTACAGGAATTAGACCCAGTCAATACTGTCAACTCTTCTGAGAACTTTGACAGTTATGGGTGAGAAAAGAGGCTTTCATGTTAACATTGTTATTTCTCTTGATATTATGAGAGAGTATGGGAAAGCAGAAAGAATATAAGCTATTTCATCAAAAATCTGGTATCAATCATGTCCCTATCTTTTCTTCTGTGTGACATTTGGCCATGCAACTCTTTACCTCTGTGGGGCTCAGTCTCCATTTACTTGAAAAATAGATATTTCTATCTCATTGTGGGGGTTTTGTGATTTTTGTAGAAAAAGTCACCTTGCCCACCTCCTGGAATACAGCAGGAACTCAATAAATGTTAAGCAGTATATCAAAATCCCCCCAATGATGCTCTTAAAAGGAGCCCAAGTCACACAGTGAAAGCAGTCCCGTGTGGAATCACGCTCTGCTCCCCACAGAGTCCTCCTGCAGGAATCACAGTTGATTGGACTTGGTGGTGTTGCTTTTTAAGTTTATCATATGCTGGTGCTTGGTGATGATTTCAGGTATGTTTCTAGATCCTGTCAGCCTCCTAGGGATAGAAACAGCCCTTTGGCAAGTAAAAGTCATTAAGAAGTAAGGTACAAGGCAAACACTGCCCGTGTGTCTCCTTTTGAATACTGCATGTGATGATCATCCTATCACACACACTTAATTCGATTATACTGACCCTCCAGCCTTGGGCCTTTTGTCTCAGACTTGGCATTCGCAAATCTGTGACAGCTGGAGAAAGAAAGAAACCATCGGTAGTGTGGTTCAGACTTGCCGCATGGTGCAAAGGCCAAGGGGTTAATGTGCTGCTTTGTCTCTTGCTGGAGGAAGGGTCCCTGGGTCCAGACAAGGTCATTCCATGATTGAAAGACTGTTCAGAAAATCTGATTAAAATTTCCACTTCTTTCACCCGTGCTGTGTTTCTTGAGACAATAAATAAATGGTGATTCTAAAGAAGGAACTTAAGATCTCACTATCAACAGACAAACTTAATTTTAAAAATATTTCTTTAGGGAAAATGTCTAATTATTCTTATAGAAAAGGGTCTAAGGGCTCCAGAGGAATGGAATTGATCAGCAGCACCTTTTTTATTTCTTTATTTTTTTGAACTGAGTATTGAACCAAGGGTACTTAATCACTGAGTCACATTCCCATCCCTTACAGGGTGTTCCTAAGTTGTTTAGGGCCTGTTTAAGATGCTGAGGCTAGCTTTGAACAAGCAATCCTCCTACCTCAGCTTCAGGAGCCACTGGGATTGCAGGCATGCACCACCATGCCCAATGCAACATCATCTTTTATTCATTTTTCATTTACCAGAAAATTCTTAAGTGACTGCAAGGTATCACAATGTTAGGTCCAGAAAGTATAGAGCTATATAAAACTTTGATTCTGTCTTTAGGGGACCACAATGGAGAAGACAAACATGAACAGGTCACAGGGTTATTTAGATATCTATGAAAGAGGGGGTGTGGGAGCTCTGACCAGGCTATCATCAGTTCTGTGTATTGGAACAATCCAAAAAAGCTGTAGAGAGGAAGCATTAATATATGAGCTGCATTATGAAAGATCTATACATTTTAGCAGGTAGAAAAGGAAAGGAGATCATTTTAGGTTGATGAAATTATACTTAGAATGACAAAGAAAAAGCTTACATGAGCCATTTTTCTAGAAAGCAGAAACTTTCTACTTAATTTTATCTACCTATAATAGGCCTGTTGCATAGCATTTATTTATGTGTTGAGAAATATAATAAAACAACAGAGTCCAAGACATTGGACCTATAGCAATCTTCGGAACAACATCTTCTTTCATTCTCTCACTTTAGGATGCCTTGGGTGAAATCAACCCATTTGTTGAAAGGAATGAAAAAGAAAATTGAAGTGATGCTATTTGAGCTTATTTGATTTTCTCCATAAATCCCAGTTTGAGGCCCATGTGTTAATGTCTAGCTGTGTCTTCTGAGCTACTTTAGCTTTTTGCATTACTGTAGGTACACACCCTACTTACTTTCTCATCAGTTTTATCCTTGTCAGCTCAGAGGTTACTCATGGCCTTCCTATCTTTCTGTGTCTCTTTCTATGATCCTAAGCTATCTATCAGTATTCTGAAGATTTCTGTATTGCTACTGCCAAATAAGTTTTTATGATGTGAAAAGTATAAAATGAATGTTTGCTCGTATCTCCTGTTACTCACTTTGACAAACACAACCATTCTGAGTATTGTTTTTTCATCATTATAGGTCTTGTGTAAATCCTTTGAGAGCAATGATTACAACGTACCGAGATTAGTGTCCCTCTGACCTTCTTTTTCTTGCTAAGCAAGAGCTCTGGTTCCATGATGCCCTCAGCAAGACAGGGAATTAAATAGGTGCAGATATTATCAAGAGACAGCATTGTTTCAAAAATGGTGCAACTTAGGAGGAAAGCCTTGGCTACATATGGAGCCTCCTTCATATGGGAGTTTTTATTTCCTGCTGAGTTCCTCCTATATGACGTGGCCTGGATGGAAACAGGAAGGATTCATTTAGAACTCCATTTTACCACACTGCAATGAAACTGGACTGAAGCGTGTGCTCCTTTGAGATAAAAACACAGAGATCCTAATATACCCCAATACCTCCAAACTTGTGCTTACATGGGTCTAAGGCAAATATGAAAATATTTGTAGATGTTACTTGGGGGCAGGAAAGATTCAGTGGACAAATATCTTTGGGATCAATTTTGTTAAGCAAAGTTGAACAGGATTCTTTTTTGCAGGTCTTCATAAAACCTACATATTCCAATATATTTTTCCAAAATTACATTACAGTATTTACCAGACATATGAGCATAATATTCTTTTTGCATAAAGCATCTTTGAGAAATTGTAGTGAAATTCACAAAGCAAAATAAAACACATTAGAATTTGTGTATCATTACAAACTCTTGGTTGCAAACATGCCTAATTAGAAGTTCCTCTAGACCCCTGTCTTTTTAGTATGCACCTATGGAACTGGATTTATGGCAGTCCAACTGGCTGCTGCAGGTTATTTACCCTCATCAGCACTTGATATGAAAATTTTTGTTTTATCCCCAGGTGAAATACCGGGTTCCAGTGGAATCCTCTGAGAGCATTAGCAGAGTTCTCTGTTGTAGTTGCATGGTACAGAAGGCAATGCAGTTTTTCATCAAGCTACAGTTCCATTTTTAGAAGAGTACTTGGTATACAAACAAAATTTTAGGCTCAATTGTGAGTGAGATTTTATACTTTTTAAATGATGTAAAAACACAAGAATTGTAATGTCTACATTAATCACTAGAATGTGCAAAAAAATATCATGTATAATTGTCTTGCCATTAGATCAGAGAAATATAAAGACGGCTATCAGCAGTGTGAGGATTCTTCCTCTGGGGACAAATCACAGATATATAGCAAACATTTCACTCTGTTTTCCTGTATTGCTCATCATGAGCTTTGGTGAGCAGGGACAGGTCTTAAGACTCTTTCTGGTTTTCCTCCACAGACAGTGTTGAAGATGAACTGGAGATGGCCACCGTCAGGCATCGGCCTGAGGCCCTGGAGCTTCTGGAAGCCCAGAGTAAATTTACCAAGAAAGAGCTCCAGATTCTGTACAGAGGATTTAAGAACGTAAGAACTGTCTTTCTGACTTTACCTTTACACAGTTCTCAGAGGAGCTTTGAGAAGTGAGAGGGCGGGAGGGAAACATACTATTCTGAAAGAGCCCCATCCTATGTGTGGTTCTTACTAATCCTATCTGGTTTTAATATAATGAATATCTGTTTTGACTTTGATTCACTTTGGCATACCAATGCTGGTACACTGTAGATGCCCGTTAAACAAAGGTACTGAAAAAAAATTACTCAATTCAATATTTAGTTGGACCTTTTGTATGTGTGTGTGCTTCACATACAATATCACCATTTCAATAGCTTCATTGATCTCTTCACTTCTTAACTATAATCTGACACTTGACTTATTGATTGGGGATCATCAGTAACTCTGTTCCGTTCCTGGCATTGGAGAAAAGTTCCTACAAATTGTATTGCTGGTAGGTAGTCACCAAGTTTGGTTCTTTGTTGTCCATGTGTGCAGGTGTCCTCCTTCCTAGTGGATCATCTTCAGAAGGAGTGATAACCCATGCATACAGAGGTCAGGGGAGAGAGACAAGGAGTGAGTTACAACAATGTATAAGGCACACATTTCTCCCGAATACTTGGTAGGAGCTTAGTGTTAAGCTAAATGATTCTGGTTATTCAAAAGCCAGAGAAGACATACTCTGTCATCAAAGATCTTATGGTCTGAATAGGAGTGAAGACATTGTCATGAACCCATTTAAAAGTAACTAATTAATATATATATATAGATAGATAGATAGATAGATAGACAGTTATAAGTTGACACAATACCTTTATTTTATTTATTTTATTTATATGTGGTGCTGAGGATCGAATGCAGTGCCTCACACATACTAGGCAAAAGCTCTACYGCTGAGCCACAACCCCAGCCCCAAATAACTCATTCTTAAAAGTGCTAAATGATTATGTATCAAAAAAGCATAGCAACCTCACATAGAGTTTTTTTCTACACATCTGTAAATCGAAGTAGGTAGCTGTTCCTGGAAACCCAAATTAAGTTGCTTTGATTCCCCCCAAACCTATACTCTAAAGAGACCAATTCCATGTCTTTAGAGGCTTGTGGTAACCATAGATTTCTATCAATCTCACTACCTCAACTGCTGCTTTTGTCTAGCCTCAGGCAGACCAGATGAGAAACTTTGCCTACTCTTTGGTACTCTGAGAATTCATCCTCTAGTTGACTTTTCAGGATATTTTTACAGGGTTTTCATTATGCACATTGCGCATACACAGCCTTCCACCATTTCCCTGAGTACATGGAGGTCTGCCTTCCTCCAATTCATATCCCCATCCTTCTCCATGTCGTAGGATTTCTCCTTTTTCCTCCCTCATTATACAGAAGGGCTTCCTTCCACTTCCAAACCTTGGCCATCTACAAACACCCAGGCTTTGTGGTGATGGACTGGGGCAGCAGAGGCTCTGATAGAGATGGGTGCTCACCACAGGACGCTAATTAAAGGGAATCTTGAGTGTAATCTGAGATGAACATGCATAAAGAGAAAAGGGCTTTGACAACTAGTTTAACAAATCATCGTTGTACGTCTTCTACAGTAGTTTATGGGTCTCAGGAGAAACAGCTGCACAGTAGAAACACACTGAGCAGCAACAACGGGAAAGGAAAGGAGGCAAAGCCAACCAAATGTTGGCTAAATGAAGTCAGTGCTAAGAGAAGGCAAATCAGAGAGAAAGACTTGAAATTTGCTCATTTACAAAGTTTAGAAACATCTAAATTTCTCTGTTCTAGCTCAGAGATCTTGAGGTAAGCAAGCTACTGTTTCTTTTAGCACTGAATTGTACAGTAGATACCAATGGCTGTCCAATAAAGCAGTTCTTGGTCTAACATTCCAGCATCCCTGGGTTCCTTGAGTGCTATTGAGTTATTAGTTCACTGCTGTCACTGTAGGGTCTTTCCATTTGAGGAATGGCTACCTTTCATCCCATTTGCTGTAAGTTGGAATCGTGATTACTGCCAGCATGAACCTTGAAGCCAGCATGTCTTACATGCATAGCACTTTTCAGTAAATAATCAGGTTCAACGTCTGCATTCATTGCTCTTTTCTATTATTTTTTCTTTGCCTACTTGTTTTATCTTCTCCCTTTCCTCTCTTTCTCTATCCTCTTTTCTCTGCTTATTTCTCTACTCCTCTTTCCTTTCTTTCCATTCTTATATACTCTCTTTCCYTTGTGCAATTATTTCCTCCTGTATTTCACTTCTTCCCCTTTCTTCCTCTTTCCCTATTTCTTCTTTTCCATTTCTTTATTACTCTCTCTTTCTGCTCTGCCCCACTCATCCCATGAGACAAATTTCCATCAGACCTGAATGTGCCAAAGAATATTTTATGTACTTCCTTAAAAGATTTCACAGTTTGTTCATAAAATATCAATCAGTGTTTCTGATGAAACAATCAAGAGTGGCCTTTTAATCTTTACGTTAACCTTCTCAAGTGCACAACTCTAATAAATGTGCCCCAAAGCCTGGCAAGGGGGACACCAAAGCAGGTCAGCAGCACACATATTTCACAGGAGGGAAGCGATCTGAGCCGGCTTCCGGCAGAGAGAGCTGAGCAACTGCCCTTGGTTTACGGAATAGCAATTATCTCAAAGTCCTGAAGATCAAAAAATCATTTCCCTGGAAACAATTGGGATGTTCATTTTTAATGAAACCTTTTAAAAGTCTCCATATTTTGATTAAAAGGATAAACCATTCATCAGCATTTTAAAATAGTCACACTTATATGAAAGTAGCTCAACTTGCTGGGCACTCCTCTAGGTTTAGCTTAGCAATTCTCCAATTTTTTTCCCCATATAGTGCCTCTAATAATATTCTCTCTCATTTTCAACACAAGATTGTTAAAATAAATGGGCAACAGGAGAAAGAGAAGATTTCTCATCTCTTCAGACTATTTTTTAAAATATTTTTTAAGTTGTCAATGGACCTTTATTTATTTATTTTTATGTGGTGCTGACAATCAAGCCCAGTGCCTCATACATGCTAGGCAAGTGCTCTACCACTGGGCCACAGCCCCAGCCTTCTTCAGCCTATCTTGCTCATTGAGTCACCCACACTCTTCTTTCCTCTCACAGCTTGATAAACAGAGTTTCAAAAGTGGGCAGCTAATAGGGATAGAGAAGAATGTTCTATGTATTTCTGCACCATTACTGTGCTCAGAAACACCTGCTTGGCCTTAGCCTGAATGATGATGACTTAGTATGTGGAACTGGGACACTGAATTTGCATTTTTTGGAAGTTCTCAAGTGATAGGGATGCTGCTGGTCCAGGGTCCACACTTTGAGAAACACTGGAGTAGTAAAGGTATCATGAGGTTTGGTATCACTCATATTTGGATCTGTATCTTACTTGTTAGGGCAGCTACCTCTGACTCAGTGCCTTGCTTTTTTTGTCTTTAGAAGTTGGAATAATGATAACAACATCATTTTTTTTTCTAGAAATAAACCAGAGATTTAGCAAAAAAGGAGTTTGTGGCCCATAATACAATATAGTTATGTTTTCCAACAATGTGAGACAGTCATGGTTGGCCTACATAGCTCCCAGGCAATGTCTTGGGCATTGGACTACATAATTATGTACTAGAAAGGACGCAGAAAGATACAAAGTATTGTCAACAGATCAGCAGTCTCAAATTTAACTGCATGTTGCAATCCTCTGAGGAGCTTTAAAAATTACAAATAGTTGAGTACCATGCTTGGTGATTCTGATGTAATTGCTCTGGGAAAATGGTCCAGCATCAGGATTTATAAAGCTCTTTGGGTAACAATAATGTGCAGCAAAAATGAGAACTACTGAACTAAATGTAAGAATAAGTCAGGTTCTCATATCCCAAAGAATTGACATGATTGTAATGATCCTTAACATGTCAAATACCAGTGACTAGACTAGCTACATTGGAACCTTATGAGGGTGTGTGTGTGTGTGTGTGTGTGTGTGTGTGAGAGAGAGAGAGAGAGAGAGAGAGAGAGAGAGAGAGAGAGAGAGAATGAGAGGAAGAAACAGAGGTTGGGAGACAGAGATAATACTTCTTATCTCTGATGATTTTGATTCAATTCTGTCTAGTGTGATGCTTGGGAATCTTTTTTTTTTTTTTTTTTTTGGCAGTGCTGGACATTAAACTAAGGGCCTCTCGTATTCTAGGCAAGTAGGCAAGTGCTCTCTATCATGGAGTAACAACCTCAACACCAAATAGCTGAATAGCACTTTTTTTTAATTGCATCATAATAGAGAAGGAACTAAATCTCACAGTAGAGAACAACCAACCTAGAACCACATATAAGTTCATATATATCCCATAATCTTGTTTCTTGTTTTATTGCTCTTTGAAAATCAAATACAACTTATTCAATGAAAGGTGGTCACAAATGTCTACTAGGGCATTGAGTTTTTAATATGATGATGTCTCTTTGCCATTTCCTTTTGTTGATTAATAATTTACAGCCTATTCTTCCCATGTTTCAAAGCATAAAATGAGGGGTAGATAGACCTCTATGCCTGAGAAGCCTGGTTCCTTCCTCTCTTGGATCTTTTCTCTGCTTCCTTTTCTTTCACTGTTTTGAATTCTAAGAGGTCAAAGTATCTATTAGACTCAAATATTATTTTTAAGGCAACGCTTTCTTACTTTTTTATATCCCTTTGCCTAAAAATGTTGTGTGAATATCCTTTTTACCTAAACATGGGAAATATTCGCATTCAATTTCTATTGATGTTTAAGGAATCACACTTAATGGCTCACAAAGTGTCCATTCATCAGGTCACAGATTTGAAGCTCAGGAGTCCCTAATAGAGCTGGGTTCTCTATTTAGAAGAGGACCTGGGATCCTTGAGCACTGCCTCCTGGAGTCCCAACTCATACAGTTGGTAGAAAATCCAACACTTGAGTTGTACACTTGAGATCCCACGTTCTTGCTGGCTATCTTCCTGGAACCCTCCAGGCCGCTGCTGCCCATAGTCCTTTGCATTGGGTCCCTTTCACAGTTCAA